CTACCCTGGTCATAATTGTTGCCATCTCCTTCTCATGACCTCCTCCATATCTATAAACCAATGCCAGCTATACCAAACCAATGCATCTTCAACTCAGTGTAGAAGTTCTTTTCCCATCAGATTGTTAAGCTTAGGACCTGTCAGAGATGCAGTAAGGACCTGAGGGGAGGTACTGATAGACTATACTTAGCCAGAGTTATGAAGAGGGTAGATTTTTTTTAGACTTGATACCCTAGATAAAAAGCTGCTGTGAGCTTCTCAACAAGAGGTTCCTTGATGAAGTGGTAAATCGGAAAGGCTGGTCTTTGTGCAACTTAATCATGGCAATGTAAATTAGTCTCTGAGAAATAAGTATAAATAATGAATTAATAATGAAGAAGTGTTTATAAAAATAGTTTTCTTAAAACTTCATTCTGCTATAATTTTAGAGGTAAATCAGTTCAAAGGAAAGATGTCACTGTTATAAAAACTTCATATGCTTATCAAATTATGATTCATATGAACAGAGTACATTTTTTAAACCATTCAATTATTATCTAAGTCAATGTCACTTCTAGTTCTTGGAAAATTGATATTAATCCCTGTGACTGAAAAAAATGTAATTGAGTTTATCAAATTAATTCCCCAAAGGCCACCTGATATCACCAGATGGGAACCCAAGATTCTTTCAAATCAGAAATATAAGCTAAGTGCAGCCCTGTACATTAGCAACTGCTTGCCCCACAGGTTCCTTTGAAATCAGAGTATAAAAGTTTCGTATTACTTTTATAAATTTCATTTGACTCTAATGAAATATGTTCTATCCACAATGCTTACAGTAACTATTTTCTTCTTAATAGGAAGCACACACTACAGAATGATCATTAGCAAACCTGGTAAGGTCCTTGAATGAATGCCTATTGAGAGCACAGGCACACATTAGTAAATTTTCTCTAGAAAATCCATTTCCATCTCAAGGTCTGACATTTTATTTAGAAAAATTATGCCCTTTCTTTTAATTATTCCAGTAAACATAATGAGGGTTTTGCTAAATACACCTCAGAGGACTTTATTTTCTCCGTTTCTTAGTCATACGAGTGTATTTGTAATTACAGGCATGCTGCATTAATGATGCTGAAAGTCTCCATGGCAAACATTTAATGTCCACCTCATAATGCTGTGCCAAAATTATATGCACAAAAGACTTTTTAATAATCTTTGTTTTCTCATTTAGTTTTGATTGGCTCTGAAATCCATGGCAGCACTCGAGGGCTCCCATTTCCACAGCCATCAGCACTTCTGTCCCATAAATTGTACAAACGTACATGACATCTTTCATCTGGAGGCTTCTTTTCAATGCTTCTGTCTAAGTTATACAGAAAATTGGCTGCATGCTGGAGATAATTGCAGATAATTTTTCCATTTTTAAGCCACTGGGGTGTTGCCTGGGGGACATGACGGCTATGTTTATCTAAACACAAAGACCGAGTCACAGCTCTGTGATGTCACTGAAGCCTTACACAGGGATCAGATCATCCTATCTGCTCCTTACACAAATCAAATCATTGTCACTAGATGACCTGTGTCATGTGACAGAGGCATGCTAACTGAAGCTTGCATTATGTCGGAAAGGACAGGATCGACACACATGTGTTGCCTCCGCTGTAAGAGCAAAAGCAGTCAACCTTGTGCCTTGCAGGTTTCTCCCCCATTGACTAAAACAATGCTCAGTCTTACACACTGTCAATTCAAAAAGAAATGTATTAAATTAAAAACAAAATAAATAATTTTCAAAATATATAATTCACACAATTCATACATGCTATTCACACACATATATGCTCTATATTCATATGTAGTTTCTATTGCACTATCATAGACATGTTTTTTCTAGTTAACGATTGTTTGTGTTTATACAATTAATATCTAACCATTTAAAATTATTTGACCTAGAAAATTCGACAGATAGGACATCCAGCTTAGTAAACAGAGATCTATTATTAAGTGGAATCATAAGCTGTTTTTCCCCTCCGAATTCACTTAGCATTAAAATCAATGCAATATTCATGGGTGGTCACGGGCATATACTGACAGAGAAAATACAGAAGGCAGCACCACGGATTTTCAGAGCAATACCAATGAACCTCCCACTTTATATTAACAACATTAACCCCGGGAACTACTGAATATTTCTGTGACTGAATTTATTTCTTGTGTTCGGAAACCCTGGAGCCATTACTAATAAGAGTGTTACTAGCTGAGGAGGCACGGCCACTTCACAGAAAACATTTACATATAGGGGCTAAGTAGTGGTTGTGTCTATTTGGCAGCTCCAGTGATGTAATAGGCCATAATGACTCTGGAGGAGCTGAAATGGAAGCGAGTGTCAGGGAGTGTAGGTCCCATAAGTCCTAGCATAAGTGACTTTATGGATTCCCATTAGACTTTGGGCTAAGAAGCTCCTCAACAGACCTGATATGACAGCATCCTGAGATGCTTTTTCAGCCCGTGTTAAGAACTCTTACACTAAGGCACTTTACAAAAAATCCACAACCACAGAAGGGAAGTTCTTCTGTATTTGAACCATTATCATTGAGTTGGCATATAATATGCATACTAATAGTCCCAAAGTTCACATTTAAAGGAGATTATTAAATCTGCTATGCCAATCATATGCACATTAAGGAATACAAATTAATGACTGATAGGTAAATCAGAAATCTTACACACTGCGCAGTGACATGTTTGAGTCTACCTGGTCTGACTTAAACTGCTTCTGAGTACCTGCACTGCACTGCAGTGCAGCCTGGGTGGGGTTCCTGGGAACACATATGTGCAGCGCAGTTATACTTCGGGCCAACTCTGTTAATTCTCTTTTCTCTTGGCACGTTTACCATCATTTAGCCACTGGCTTGATAGGAATTAAGTTACTTAAGGACCTGAGACCATGTCCCTGTGAAAAGCTAGCCTAGAAAGTTCTGTAAATGTGCCCTTTCCTACTTCTATTGGGAGAAATAGGTATGCTGAACATGAGCATTCTTTACATGTTGGGCAGGGCAAGTGTTCTCTGGCCAAAGGAGAGTTCAAGGAAGCAGCACACATGAATCATGCCTTGAACATATCCTACAGGACCTATGTGAGTAGAAACTGCACCCTGGCAAAGGAAATTAAATATTTCACTTAGATCTGCAAATTATTAAGCAATTCCAGAAGAGGTATATTGTTCAGCATATTACAGATCCCAATAGATAGGGCTAGTGTCTCTCGATGAGGAGATCTGGTGCAGAATTCAGGCTCTGGGAGCTTGTATAACCTATAACCAAACAGTAATTTCACACCACATTTGCAATGAAATTTTAAATTTGACCTTTCATAAGAAATTACCAAAGACTTCATATAAAGCCGACAAATGTCCCTGCTCTTTTACAGATTTATTGGAGTTTTACTGATACGTTTGAATAAACTCCACTGGAAGTCTGTGGTTTCCAAAATGCAACTTCTTTCTGAAGCACATACCTGTTACCCAGAGAGACGGGGCCCTCTCTTTGAAATATTTAGTCATTTAGGGCACTTTAGTCATAGTGACACCTAATAGCCAAGATCTTTTTCTCACTCTCCACAAAATCAGGTTTAGACTATAATTCAAAGCAGTCCCCAAAGGCACTTCTGAAAAATGGCAAGCCCTTAGCTTTTAGGTGAAAACACTTTTTATTGCTCAAAATTGTTTCCTGCTACAAAACCTTTCCTATAGTGCTCCATCTGAGACAATCTTATGTTAATTTAACTCACTGGGGACCGTGAGCAGATGCTACTTTGATTAATAGTTTCACGAGCCTGAAAATGCCAGGCCAAGTTCAAGATAATAAAGTCAGGTAAGATACTATTAAAATCTGCCACATGGTTATATCTGTTATGTGGATTAAAATGGGGTCATGGTTCTTATATCAAAGAAAGACTGCCTCCAATAAAAACCAACAACATAAAGCAAATGGACACACTGTCTCAATTCCTTACCCCATTAACTGACGCCATATTAAGCGCCCATCTCTTTAATAACACTTTACAGGTATATTTTCTGCTATGATTTTCGTTAGAAATGCAACATGTTCCTCCAATACTGCCTTTCTTCTAGAGTGTGTTCCACCTGGAAAAGCCCATAAATACACTCCAAGAATAACAAATGCTACAACTCCTCTTATTATTGTCTAAACTTACATGCCCCCAGGTCATTGATTTCAGCAAATGTGTTTAGAGCATTTCAACACCCATTTTCAAAATTCCCACAGAAATGTAACCCTTGGTAGTAAGGGTATGCATGAGTTGGTAAATAAGACCACTGGAAAAATACCCAAGAAAGTCTACTGTCCTTCCTTCTTCTTTTCTTCTTGCTGGCCCCTTACCTGAGGAACCCCTACCAGAAATGTTGTCTGGTAAAGGAAACAGGTGACCTCATCTAATCTTGAACTATGGGATTTGGGCCTGCCTTCATCTATGTGTAAGAATAAACCTTTGCATTCTTTTTATATTTTATTTTTTGAGACAGGTTTTCTCTGTGTACCTTTGTAGACCAGGCTGGCCTCGAACTCACAGAGATCCGCCTGCCTCTGCCTCCTGAGTGCGGGGGTTAAAGGCGTGTGCCACCACCTCCTGGCAAACCTTTGCATTCATAACATTGGTTTACTAACGGATTTTCATCATAAACATAACCCGGCTGACCCCAACGTTTCAGTTTCTATTCTAAAATTGAACCATCAGTTTGGCTTTTTGATTTGCAATATATACACACTCCACCTGTCTCACTGAAACTTTTGGCTTGTTGGCAAGCAGGAAGCTCCCATACATCAATCACGCCATATATGTTGTAACCCCAGAAAGCACAAGCCTCCACTGAGAATGAAGGCAGCCTCTGACACCTGCAGATGTGGCTCTGCCACACTGAGCCTTCCCACTCACCACATTGGTTTGTCAATGAGATTTAATGGCATTTATGTGAAGTACTCTACTCGAAAGCACTGCCTCACCATTGCACAGAACGACTCTGGAGGGTCTCCACAGGTAATATCCGGAGGGTCCAGTTTCACTTTCAGATATTTTGTCATGTCCGTGGATTCCGGCTGGCAGGCCATATAATCCCAAACTTTCCCTTCTTCTGTGTAAATCTGAGTTTTACATACATCGTAATGTCCCCACACTAAAGGGTAGGGCTGCATCACAGAGGACACTGTAACCCACAGGGCATGAATCGACAGGAATCTTGACAAATACATCTCTAAAATCTTGGCAATCTTCGTGTCTTATTTGCAGTCACTGTCTCCTTTACATATACATGAGTATTGTGTGTGTGTGTGTGTGTGTGTGTGTGTGTGTGTGTGTGTGTCTTTATGTAGGTAGGTCTGTATATTTTCAAAAATATGCTGAGGTCTCAAAGCCGATTCCCAAACTGAATGTGATAGATTGAAATACTGTGCGGTCAGGTATGTTGAGGACTTTGGTGGAAGCCTAATGTGCTTCTGTGTTAGGCATCAATAGCTTGCAGCCTTTCCTCCTCATAGACCATTTCTATTAGACTTTTATGAACGATGTCCAAGAGCCGATAATAATTTAGAAAAGTGATGACTCTCCCATTGTACATCCGATAATCCTGAGTGATCCTCAGTGTTCAGGGTCACTGGGGCTGCTCAGATGCGATGAGGGATCAGTATCTGGAGCACAAGAATGAGTGTCTACAGTCCTGTGTCTGTTTCCCAGCAATCATTTTCTTTTTTCTTCTGGCACCAACACCTTTGTGGAAACAATAAGAGTAAGAGTTATTGCCCTGGAATCAATGCATTAGGAAATGTACGGTGCGTTGACATTTCGAAGGCTCAGTGTGATATAAAGTAAACTGGTGTGATATAGATAAGCTTCAGCTAGATGCCTTGCTAGGATGATGAGGGTACCCATCCATATTGGGGAGGGTTTTGGTATGAAGAATTTGACTCTTCCATAGCAAAGGTAGATGAATATGTTCTAGGAGAGTTAACAAGGTGTTTTTTTTTTTTGCTTCAAAAATTTTATTTCCATCTTAACTACTGAGAGCAAGCTTCTGGATTTAAACAGCTCTTACAGCTAGCTTAAAAATCTCCAAGAGAACAATGAGAATAAAGAGAGCCTTTATAACAATGACAATTACTTGTGTGCCTTTCTTCTTTTAGCAAAGAGACCCTAAAATTCTCCAAATTCCTTGTACATGTGTTAGCTTTTGTTAGGGGCAGGTGAATGAAAACTGGTATTATTTGGTACAAGCCTGTCTCTGAATTATACTAGAAGAATTTAACATCTTTTGTTAGTTGCATTTACTGAAAAAGATAATTAGGCTCTCAGAAAACACTCAAAAAATAAAACCAAAGGGGCAAATATTCCTTTCCTAAGAATCTTCTATTTTCTTACATCTTTTTTATAGCCATCACATCTGCATTTCCAGTTACTTTCTGTAACAGGAGAGAATTTGTCCCAAAGGTGGATATTATATGCTGCTTTTAAAGTGAAAGCTCCACAGTAAAACACACAGTTTAAAATGCACATATAAAAATAGCTGAGGGTGAGCTCACAAGCCATGAAGCAGAGTAACGGCTCTAATTCTAAGAGAAAATAAAAATTTTCATTTCAATGTACTTTGGGTAAACTGGTAATATAATTCACAAATGAAAGTCACTGATGAGTTCCACTAGCAACTTTTCAACTTTCGAAATCTTAGTAAATGTAAACATTTGAAACCAGGTGATACTATTTTCCTAGTTTTAAAAGAACAAAATAAAAAAACCTACAGCTTTGAAAATTCCATTATAGACTCTTCGATTCATATTAAACAGTTTAAATAAGGAAGTTCGCTATCTTCAAGCAATCTTATAAAGGGAATGCACTATATTTAAATAATGCACCATCTTAAAATGAACTAAGTCACAGAGACTATGAAATGCCAACAGATGGTTGAATTGTGTTTCCATAGCAAAGTAATGTATAATAATTGCTTTATGGATGCAAGTGCAATTTTCATTATATTCAATTCATGAAATGTTATCATACAGCTGCAATTTGTGATATTTTCTATTAGGAATAGTGTTGAATATTTGAGTTCCCATGAAGTAGTAATTAGCAATATGTCTAAACATATGTAAACTACAGACTTAAATTTGCTTCTTTGTGACTTTGACACTGTTCAGTGGCATGCATTTGGAAATCCTAAGCTAAAAAGAAAAAAATTAAACATTGCAGAAGCATGTGTTGTGGCTAATCAAGTTTTTCTACTTTTTTTTCTGTTTTTAGATTCATTAAGGTTTCATATTCAGAAACACCCAACAAGCTGATGATTAATAATCTGAAAAGATGTTAAGAAAGAAATGTGTATTTCCTAACTCATTTTTCACCTATGGTTACTACATCCTTATAGATGAAAGAGACACTTTGGAAAGTGAAGAAAAAGACAATTAGAAGTAAGGTAGTATAAACATTTACTAGTTCCAAAATTATTAACATCACTTTTTTAGTTTCAAAACCCAGAAGTTCCTAAGTCAGGAGCAAGATAACCTTAAAGACTGGGAACCAATGACTATGAGTTTGAATTGAGTGAATATTTGGTTAGTTTTTACAAGAACATTTCAAGTATATAGGCTTTAATGACCCTTTAGATCACTCTTCACCTCTTTTAGCCAATACTATTCCCTCAACCATCTATTCTTTATCACTCTGTCCTCAGGCCTATGTTATTGCAATGACCTCATCTGTGTATTTCTACATGAAGCTGTGGGCACTAAGGAAAGAAAGGCATGTAACTGTCACCGTGTCCTGACGACAGCACTTCCAATGCAGCAGCTTCTCATTAAAGTCTACTAGACTGTAATAATGGCCATTACACAGAATTATGGACTACATCATTGATCGAAGTTAGATAGTTGACAGGAGAAAATGCAGAGGGGTGCAAGATATTTGAATATGAGGCAGTTGCAGGACTGTGCGACAGACACTCTTGACAAGAAGCAGCCAATTACAGCTTAAATTTCTGGCACCTAACCAGTTGTGATTAATAGTTTTCCATTACATTACAGACATATTATTAATGTATTAAAAATATCAAGCTTTGGCAAGCACTAATATGGTGTGGCTCAGTTGGTCTGCAGAATTTACATTTAATGAGCTCCTATTGACATGGAAAAAGGTATTGACCATAGTGTAATGCAAATCAGAGTACAGTTGTAAGCCACTCGTGAACATAATTATATTTTTCCTCTAACTTGGAAGTCTGTAGCACCCCATCTTTGGACCCTTCATATCAACGTTTCCTTACTTCCTACTATCATACAGGCTATCAAATAAATTTCTACTTCATATCAGAGGAAATTAAATCTATGAACTTCAGTAACAAAGAGGCCTTATAAGAACCAAGGATTTGTGGTAAAGGTATAATTATGGGATTTTCAAAGAAAATAAATATTGTACAAAGAGAATATTATTTATACCACCACCTCCAACACTTAATGCTGCTGGTTTCTAGCTGGCTCACCTCTGAACCAGGCTAAAAATATCAGTATCTTCTTAAAAGCTAGGCCGGGTGACTACAAATGGCTAGACAAACTGATTAGGGGATGGGCAGCCAATGACATATTTGGGGACTTAGTATCCTAAGTGCATCCCTTCCTCTCAGCACAAAACTGAACTACCTACTGTGAATTTGTCTCAAGCGTCTGGATCACCCAGATGAGGGCAACTTCAGAAGAGCTCTGGGCAGCTCCAGCTCTAAGGCTGCATTTTCCCCTCCTGGGAATTCAGTTGAGGATTGGTACCATCTCTACCTAGGAGCTGAAGCAGGAAGAAATCCTTTCTGTTTAAAATTTCCCCTATTAATATGTTACAAGCCCATGGTTCTTTGGCATAAGAATGAGCATAGTCAATGAAAAAAAACACAAAATTACATGATTTCAGGTTGATAGGTATTATTGATGAGGGCTAATATAGGCTACAAAATGGCTTTGTATCCAAGGAACATACATTTTCCAGCATTCAATAGTTAATTACCTTCCACCTTGGATTAACTTTGCAGGAGAGATTTTAAAAACCCTTTCCCTCATTAGAAAAAGAGAAAAAATGGCTCCAAAATATTATGCAAAACTAATAATGATTAAAAGGATAAGCCATTTTAGTCTCAAAGAATTACCCATGTATCAACTGAGAGGAAAATATTGTCGGTAAATCTACCAATTCTCTCTGAATTTTAGCATTCTTTTCATTATATAATCCCACTAGGAAGTGGGGGTGTGGTAATAGGCTAAATATTCCATAAATGCACATCTCATCAGGGCACCTGAAATAGACAGCTATTGACTCATTCTGTGTAGACATTAAGACTTTTATAAAGCTACGTGTTTCTGAATGGATATGAATGGAAGGAAAATTGAAGATAATCACATTTCATTGACCAAAGAAAATAAAGGGGGAACAATATAGAAGTTCCATAACCTGTCAAGATTAGCAGCTGTGAACACAGTCACAGTGAGATCACTAGTTCACGCATATTCAATTGTCTTTGCCCATGTCCATGTATTGTGAAAAGAGAATCTTTTGGTTTCTTCATGAGGAACAGAGGTTACTATCTTTTTGTTAACAATCTTGAAAACATAAAGAATCTAACTGTAATCTAATTGTAATGCGAAAATTTTGGCATGTCTTACTCACAAGTGACTTTGAGTATTATAAAGAACAATCATGGGAGTCTTAATAAAACCAAATCATCACATATTGGTATTTTAAATATTTCTATTTATATCAAGGGATAAAAATGATGGGAGTCAGTACATATTTTCCAGGATGTTTGTATAGGGGTAATATGAAAGGCTATAAGAAACCTGGCATTCAACTGTCATATGAACGATAGAGCCTTCCTTCTAATATATGGAAGCTCAGAAATACAAAGTTCCACACACAGCTGAAAAATTCTACACCCACTTGAAGTTTGAAACAGAACTCCAGAGTCTAAAATTAAAATTACTTTCTGAAAGTATGTTAAATCACTTACTTCCTTATAACACAACATAATTCACACACACACACACACAAGTACACATTTAAATACTAACATATACTTGTTTTCCTAAGTTGTAGGAAATTTTATTTTCTCACCAGTCACTTGGTACTTTTGTTATTCACAAACTCTGTTCAAATGCTTATTCACACTATCTACCAGCTAAATGCACAGTGGTTTAATTGTTTAAAGATACTGTCTAATGTTTTGCAACAACAACAAAAAGACAGAAGCAAAAGCAGATATTGGCTTCCCGTGGTAAACACATGAAAGAAACTTCAACATGCATTAGCTGCCTTCTAAAAACAAAACAAAATACAAACCAAAGCTAGTCTGAACCATTTGAACCCACATGTCCAACTGACAAAAATCTTAAAGGGTACATAGTTTTATGTCCAAATAAACAGTTCCTTTTAAAATAACGATGGAGTTTACTCTTAAATATAACTATAGGAAATGCCAACAAACTAAAAGCCAAATGTCTTCATGTTGGTATTTAGTGATGAAGCATACGTCATAGTGTCTAGCAGGGAAAACATCTCCCTTATATGTGCAAGCGGGACAGCGCGGCATGTGAAATGTCTGATGTGTTTCTTCTTTGCACCCTGGTTCCCCTTTCAAGGATCCAGGTTTTAATGAAAGATTGAAAATTTCCTATGCTTAAAAATATTCTTGGACAATTATTGAGCTGACTTCCCTCTGCCAAAGAGAAAAGCTAATGGGGAAGGCATTCAGAGAGAAAGTACAAAACACTTGGAGACCTCCTTGCAGGTTAGGGGTACTTTACTCTCCAAAGCCACAGAAATCAGGAAATCCTTGTCCTCATCAAACATCAATGCAAAACTTTCTAGCAAGCTTAATCACTATGCATATTTGAACAAATGATTTTGAGGGAAACATCTTTGCTTTCTTTTTTTTTCTCCTGTTAAGACAGGAAAACTTTTAGTATTTTCAGTCATAAAACGAATCCTGATTTCCAGAGCAAAGCTGCTGCCAGAATTACCATATGTTTAGTGGAGTTCTGAGTCTTGCTCAGAATTTTCCACTGCGAAGGGTGACAAAGTGTTGTGCTGGAAAGTTGCTTGCTTATTCCTTTGTAAAGAAAGGGGCACTAAAGAGAGGACCTGTGGTGTACAAACCTACAACTGGAGGAACTCTGCCTGCCGCTTTTTCAAATAAAGTTGCTTTAAAATCCTTCTCCCCACCAAGGATTTTCCTTCCAGGCCCTGCAAAATGACGGCTACTCTTTAGGAGATGGGGGTGGGGGGTGGGGGGTGGGGGGGAGAGAGTCCCAGGATGAGGTTACAAAAATAAACAGCAGAGGGCGCAGTTTCTTTTTTTTAATCCAAGTTTTCTCTCCTATGAATCACTTAATTGGTTATTTTGGGCCCAATAATATTCGGTATTATTTGTATTATATATAGATATCCACAGATCCATAGCTGAGAGAAACTCCATGTCCCCAGCTGAATCCATCAACTGATAATGCAAAACCAGTAGGGGAGGAAAGGCTCCCACCAGCTTTCCAAAGCTGTCTTTCCCTCGTTCCACGCTCTTTCCCCAGCTGTACAATGTGTGGTAGTAACGCTTTAATCTCGCACCAATAAAGGAGATTAAAAGAGGGGACTTCAAAAGCTCTCCATAGGGCGAGCAACAAGGCAAGTTTTTATTTATTTATTTTCCCTGATGAGAAAACTGAGAAAAGGAAAATTAAATTATTTTTTTTTTTAAAAAAGCCTGTGCGATGCGTGTGGTCAGGTGTGTGTGTGTGGGAGACTGAGAGCGCAGCGCGTTGCGGGTGGGTGGATGCGGGCTCCGGATGCAACAGCCAGCGACCCGGTACGGGGCGCACGCCAGGGATCTAGTGTGGGTGTGAGCGGTGCGGGCTCCGGAGTGCGCACAGGCTCCGCGCTGCCTCCTTAAGGCGCTTTCCAAAGTTCCTCGCCCACCCGGATCTCCCCTCCCGCCCTCGGCGGGCACCGGGGGTTGGCAGAGGGAGGGATGGCAGGAGGGAGAGAACTGATGGAGAGGGGCCACCCAGAGAGGCACGGGTCGCTGGAGGAGAAGGGAGTCAGCCGCACTTACCCGGGCCCCCCCGCTGGCCCTGTGCCGGGCGGGAGCTGAGCCGTCGGCGCGGGGCGGCGGCCCTGCCCAGCTTGGTCCCGCGTGGGGCGGCGACCGCGGCTGCGGGGACTCGCTGGCGGCGCACGGGGCGCGGGTGGAATGGGAACGCATCGGGTGTGAACCCGAGTGACCACCACCGCAGCCCCGGGGTCCTAATCCCTCCCTACAAGCACCCTGCGGGCCACGGGGAGGCGGAGTCCGCAGCCCCAGACCCCACGGCGCCCGGCGCCTCCCGTCCCAGTTACCTTGGCTTGGCGCCCCTGGGGCAGCCTCGTCGCGCGTCGCCCCCTCTCGGTGCCCGGACCTGGACAGGGGGAATTCCTTCCCGTTGACGTCCTCTTCCAAAATGCAAAAGATCAGTGACTTTGACAGGTAGATGAGGGGGAGGGAGAAGGGTGGGCGGAGAGGAAGGGAGGATGAGAAAGGTGCCTCTCCCTCCAAAAATACAGTGGGGTTAGGAACCAAATAGCCGCCTTCTGAGGTCTCATCAGCCGTCTCCTCTCGCAGCCTCCTCGCGCCACCACCGCCGTCGCCACTTCTCGCCTTAAACTTTTACTGTGGGTTTTCTCTCTCTCTTCTCTATTTCTATTCCTTTCTTCTTTCTTTTCTTTTAAGCCGCAGAACGATTTTTTTTCCCCGATCCCGGGGGATCAGAACCAGCGGCCGGGCGGTTCTATCCCGCTTGGCACCGCTTTCATTTTATTTCAGATGAAGATGTTGGGTCTTTTTTTTTCCTCTTTTTTGTCAGAAGCGACATAAATCAGGACAATTAGCCTTGGCGCCAAGAAGATCCTCTCGAAGCAATTTCGCCCCGGTTTCCTTCGCGCATTCCTCCACTCAAGTCAGAAATGTCACTGCACATAGCGTTGATGACTGCGAGACGCGACGCACCCAAAGTCCGTTTGATGAAATATACATGGCCCCAAGATGCTTCTGGATTGCGGTTCCCGGCTTCCCAGCCCCCGCCCGCGGCGCCCGGCCGGGACCCTGCTCCCAGCCCACAGCCAGCTCTGGGCAAACTTAGGACGCGGACGAATTAGAGAGTGAGCGCCAGGGACCGGCAAAGCGACGAGCGACGAAACAGCCCCGGGAAGCTGCAGCCCTCGGAGGGGTGGTGTGTTCTTCTCACTTAAAAAGCAGATCTTCTGCAACTGCCAGCGAGTGGAAGGATTGCAAAAACCTTATACTACCTCGAGACCTGGGCGCTCCGAGCGGTCCTAACTCCGTCCCGCTCGCTGATTCTGCTGCTGCTGCTCTGGCCACCGCTGCTGCTGTGTAGGGACCCTGGGGTACTTGAACAAGGAGACCACCCACATCCTTATTTCCCACCTTTGTTGATCCACAGAAGCGCGGTTTCTACTGGCTCCCTCTCTAACCCCTACTACTGTCCCCTCCCCTTGCTCCTTCGTTACTTCCCTACGGGGTTCCCAAGCACACCCCCCTTCTAGCTAACTGAGAGCACAGTATTTCTTAACTTGCAATTAGTTTGCCTAGCCAGAGCTCCCGACCCCCTTGCTGTGAAATTCATCCCACTTTCGAAAGGTGGAGTTCAAGTAGGAGCTCTGCATCACAGATGGCCTTGGTTTTCCCTGATGACAGAAAAAAGTCACCTGGCCGCAAAGCTTTGGTCCTGCTAAGGGGTCTCAGACACTCCCTAGGAATCCCCCCCCCAGCTACTTGCTAATGTTACTTGCAAACCAATCCAATTTACAGGAAGAAATAGAGAGAGATTTAATTAGAAGAGGGCATTGCAATAGGGGAAACACTCACAAATTCACAACCATCTCAACGACAGCCCGTAAAGCTGGGCTCTTCCTGTACTGTAAAGGAAATAAGCCACACGAGAAAGCAGCATGTGGGGCATTGGTGGTGCACCTTTAATCCCAGCACTCGGGAGGTGGAGGCAGGCTGATCTCTGTGAGTTCTAGGCCAGCCTGAATTACAGAGCGAGCTGCAGGACAGTCACCAAAACAATACAGAGAAACCCTGTCTCAAAAAAAAAACAACAACAACAAAAAACAAAAACCCCAACAAACAAACAAACAAACAAAAATGGGCACGCAAGGGCCGGGCCGGTGAACTGGTGTCTTGAGTCACATGTGATTAGATTTGGTAAGCAACCTGTCTGTTGTTCAAGGAACTGACAAGTAGGCGCTTGCTCAAGCTCCTGGGGCTAGGAGGAGAAGGCGCTGCAGATGTCTGCTCAGTGTAAAACAGCAGGTTAGAAATGGGTACCAGTGAGCATCAGGTCACTAGATGCATGCTCCTTAATGAAGGCAGGGAACTAAAATTGTTTTTTCAGTTTTTTCAGCCATAGTTGGGACTTGGGATTGGTAGAGAGGTTATGCAGCAAGAAGGCCACTAAGTTGAGGCCTGGACAGGAAGGAGGCTGGAATTCCAAACACCGAGACACCAGAGAAGACAGGGAATCCCCACTCTGTTCTTCTCAGAGCTGGGGTCTGGACTTTTTACTTTCTGTGTCTTTCTCTTTGTTCTTTGACCCTGAAATTTCAAAAAAAAAAAAAAAAAGGAATCTCACCCTTGGGGGATAAAGCTGCTGGCGAGCCTGCAGCCAATGCTAGCTCTGCCTCTAACCTGTCTCCTCCAGGTTCAAAAAACATTGATGTTGTAGAAGTACTACCCACCCACCCACCAACCCACCAACCAACCTTCCCTCTCTGGCCCCAGAGTCCTGTCTTTTCTTAAAGTGCCTGTCTTCAGCAGGACTGATAAAACATCCACAGTGGTCTTCTCACTTCTTATTGGCAACTGCCTGGACCCTCGACTGCTGACAGCTATCACTGCCCACTGCCCTTTTCAATCAGGCCAAAGCAGTCCCTTGTGAGATCTCAGTCTCACCATCAGCTGATGCTTTGGGATGTCTCTCCAGCAAAAAGAAAACATTTATACAGAAATAAGAGAACTCCCTCCAGAGATGCGTTGGGATCTTTGAAATGTTAGCTTCCACGGCTAACCCCTCTCTCCGTTTGGATTCATGCACCATTCCCAGGATTCTGGGTTCTGTTGAGAAGTCTCTTGTGAGTTATAGACATTTCACCACTTCATGAAGCCTACAACAGCCCCACATAGATCTGCTGGGGAGATGGGATGGTTTCATGTCATGGAAACTGGTTTTCCAAAGCTGTTTTCTCTCCACCACGTGCCTGACCTTTGCACAGACTTAGCATACTTGTAGGTCTGGACTCTGGGGAGCACATCTGATTCCTCAGAGAACTTCCAGCACCTAATTCAGTTCTCTTTCAGTCTTGTTTCCTCCTGGCCTTCAATGGGGGTAGAGGTGGAAGAGATCTGGCTGTCAGCAGTGGTATTTTGTTGTGTCTCTCCTAAGCAGAACTTCACATGGATGTGACAAATCCAAAATGAGCGCCAATGAACTAATGCATGAATGTATTAAACTTGCTTTTCTGAATATATTTTGTATGTAAAAGAGACAATGAGAAACTTACTTCAGGTATTTCATTGATACTGTGGAAAATAATATAGGACGCACTTTACTTTTGGCCTTTAGCAAGTACACATGCATCTATATATTTAGCTTTCTTTGGACAGAATGATTTTCTGTTTTTATTTAACCTTTCAACTTTACTTTTCTTTCTTCTTTTATAGGTGAACAGTTTGATATTTTAGCTGTCTAGTTTCAGCTTTCTGGATGGTTTCCATGCACCCCTCATTCTTCTTCAATTGAAATATCCATTTATTTGTAATCCTGTTAGATCTCATTTTTCTAGGTTGGTAGCTTCCGAAAATCACTTTTAGAGAGTTGGCAGGGTTGTGTGAATACTTGTAACTCCAGTGCATCAAAGTGCTAGTGGTGGCAGATTTGCAACTTACCTGATCCAAGAAGACACAAGTCTTTTTATAACTACTATATAGTACCGAATATGAGGTGGGATTAAGATAAATGTTCATTCCTGGTATGAATAAGTTTTTGACATTCTTGGATTCTTCTGAAGCCTTGCAGGTAATGGGAACTAACTCCCACCTATTAAATGAAGACTTGGACTTAGAAACATTCAAATCAGGGATGTCCGGGATTTCTGGTGGCTGCAAAAGAAATTCCACAGAGTTAATGGTTTATAATAATAATAAAAATGCTTTTCACTGGTCTGGAGGACAAAGAAGACGGAGTGCCAGATTAACTGGGTTCTAGTTAGAGACCACCTGGTTGTTTAGACACCTGACTCTTTGAATCATCACATGGTAAAAGGAGGACTAGTGATTTAGTTCCTTTAATAAATGAACTAGTCTCATTAATAAGGGCTCCACTCTTGTGACCTAGTTACCTCCTTAATTCTCCACCTCCAAATAGCATTAAACCATCAAGGTGGGGATAAGAATTTAAACATATCATGTGGGAGTGGACAGAAAAATGTAGAGGGTGACTAGGGGCAAGATCCATTTGAATAATTACAGACTATGCCATAAAGTCTTCCTACAGTTGCTGCTTGTGTCCAATAAGAATACCCACTTGCAGTTATCAAGCTTTTTGCTCTTGCCCACCTTACCCCAAATGCTCAAGGTCATGTTTATTACAGAGCCATTAGCAGTCTCATTTTGGCAGATTTTGATGTTCCTTTACCTGGAGATTTAAATGCTTAAATATTTTGACATTTAAACCTCAAACAAGCTCTAAACTCTTGATCTGGCTCCATCATTAGGGTGTGCCATCATCTCCTTGCTAGATTGTAGATGTGCCCAGAAAGCTCTGTTTTAATGCTATAAGTTTAGAAAAAAGTTTCATTTAGTTTCTCTTGGGGGCTGACGACATAAGTAGTATATGTATAAAACAAACTTCACATACTTATAGGGTCCTGATGCTGGAACACGAAGACTAAGCTAATGGCATAAGCCATTTGGTGGTTGATGCAAGGAACCTGAACCCCAGCAAGCATGTGCTTTTTAATATATGGCACTGTATATAAAATTTCAGAAATAATAAAATTTGTGATTTCACAAAATACAGCTTTGGGTTTCTTTTAAGAGAAAGCACACTAACTTAAAAAGATGGGTTTTAGTCAAGTATTTCATCAGTCACTTCTACTCTAAACACCATATGTGTTTTTACAGTGTTCTTATTTTTGTTTAGCCTTTCTCATGCATAACAAGGTAGTAGCAATCATCTCTTAATTAATATATGACACTAGGCATTTTAATTCAGCCAGTTAATTTGTTGAAAACAGGATACACTGAGATTCCACTGCCCACTTTGCTCCCTCCTTAAATTCTTTCTTTGTTGTACTCATTTTTTCAACAGTTTTTTTTCCTGAGTATGTAAGACAAGCATACCACCAGCAGATTTGGATTATGCTATGATCTGTACAAAACAGGTAAGGCTGTGGGAATTGCTTCATTATGTCTCGATGGCCTGCCTAAGGCCATTAACCTATTTCTTTAAAAGATGAGATCACATCATTCATTTGGTATATTGGGTGAAAACATTCATTATCAAAACTCAGCAGCTGTGAAGAAATGTTTCTTCAAATGAAATTCTCATATTTTTAGTTACTCTACGACAACAGCAACAAAAAAAGCAACTTTATAAAATTGAGAAGACAATGATGGCCGAGAAACTTTCATCATCTACTTAGGAGATCCTCCCATCAATCTCATCCTAATAGCAATTCTATTCAGTGAACATTGGTGGATCTCACAGTCATTTTTGGGACATTCCTGGGTACTGAAGTAAACACCAAACTCAAGCACAGTGCTCACAAAGCACCTTGGAAAGAGAGTTAGGCAATCACCAGTGATGTGCAATATCACTGTGATTAGAAGTTACTTTTAAGGAAGAAACATTACAACAGTGAAGCCTACAGACTCATTTCATAACCAAAATGGGGTAAAAGTACACAAATAACTCTACCTGGCTGGTGATCCAGACGAGAATGGGAAGCATCATCATGTCTTTATGAGATGTCATGTAAATATAGAGCAGAATGCAACTATGGACCAGCTCCACTTCAGTAAACCACTGCAGAGGGAGTATCCATGACATAAACTTTCCCAGATAGGGATAAAACAGGTGCAGAGGAGAAATCTGGGATTGTGGGGTACCATTTGGTTTGAGGTGTACTTTATCTAGATATCTGTTCATTCCTTTCTTGACTTCTTGCTTCTGAGTTGAGTTTGGGGTTCACCATTCTCCAGTCACCACTCTCATTGCTTTTGGTGCATCTCCAGGGCTCCATCCTTCAACCTGAATGGAAGCAGTGGGTGGGAGCTGGCTGCTGGCTGCTGGTGAGTAAGGCCGATTCATGCCAAGTGGCCTTTACTTCCTAGTGGGCCGCCTTCTCCTTTTGCAATAAGGTTCCCACTGCTGGGAAAATGACTAA